TATATATATATATATATATATATATATATATATAGAAGGCGCATACACCTCAGCAGGTTATAGGCTGTGCATGCGGAGGGGGTGTACGTACACCTGGCGATTGTCTTATAGCCAATATATTATTGACTAACATATCGATTAAAACTGAGGTGTACAGACACCTCAGTTTAATCGATAGATTAGGCGGAAGCAAATGCGGTGTATATCTTCTGCATTACATTAAAAAAAGGATATTAATAATATTAATAATAATTATTATGACTATTATTATTATTATTAGTTAATTTTATTTATATAGTTTGAAGAAATAAACGTTATTCTTTGTTCCTGCTGTTATTTAGATACAGGGTACAGGCCCGTGGGCCCTATAGTAGTCTGCTGCTGCTGCTGCTGCTGATGCTGCTGCTGCTGCTGTTGCTGCTGCTGGCTGATGTAGTTCTTTGATGCTGCTGAAATTTTAATAAGCAGCATTTTTTAACATAGGGAAGCAACCACCGTCATATTACTGCAGCAAGAGAAGGAGCAGCAGCATCTGCTGCTGCTGCTGCTCTTGCTGCTGCTGCAGTGTCTCGATACACGGCAACTCCGCAGCTGCTGCACTGCCCTTCTCAACCTTCTGTGTTCTCTTCTTTATTCTAGTAAATCGCATGTAGAAGACAGTTGCTGCAACAGAAGCAACAGCAACAGCAGCTGCAGCCGCAGCCGCAGCAACAGCGGCAGCAGCAGCATCAACAGCGGCAGCAGCAGCATTCAACTGCCTCCCCACAGAAGTCAGTATGGAGCAGCAGGAAGCAGCGAGAGCTGCAGCAGATGCTGCCTCCACGGCAGCAACGCCGGCAGCACTAGCGTTAGCGCAGCAGCAGCAGCAGCAGCAACAGCAGCAGCAGCAGCGGAAACCTAGGGTATATACAACAAGCACAATGACAGGCTTTGACGGTGCTGCGGGAATGCGCGCTATGGCAGCCAGCAGCAGCAGCAGCAGCAGCAGCAGCAGCAACCGTCCCTTGGGGCAGCGCTTTTACTGGGACGTTGAAACAGACGAAATAACCTTTGCCGACGACAGTAGCAGCAGCAGCAGCAGCAACAGCAGCAGCAGCAGCAGCAGTAACATGCTTGCTTCAGGAGAGTTTACGCAGATAGTGCAGCGAGAGGCAGAGGACCCGCTTTCTCTCCCCTTAGTTGGAGGCATCGTCGAGAGGACGCCCCTGAGCAGCAGCAGCAGCAGCAGCAGCAGCAGCAGCAGCAGAGTTAGCAAGTTTGCTGCCAGCTTGACGCATGCTCCTTTTCCAAAGGCAGTCCACCGCAGTCTGCTGCATCAGCAGCAGCAGACAACCACTGGAGCTGCAGCGCCTCCAGGGGCAGCAGCAGCAACAGCAGCCGCAGGGGCAGGGTCTGTCGGTGCTGCAGAGGACCCGGAAGCAGCAGCAGCAGCAGCAGTAGCAGCAAAAGTAGCTGCAGAAGCAAGAACTGCGTTTGTATTTGATTCGCGTGAGGCAGCAAAACTGAGGTGGACTGACCCACTGCCGCCAGAGGATCCTGCTGCTGCTGCTGCTGAAGCTGCTGCTGCTGCACTGCAGCAGAAGGAGGAGAAGCAGCAGCAGCAGTATGCTGCTGCTGCAGGCTTTCCCCTCGTGCAGCAGCAGCAGCAGCAGCTGGCCTCCCTTCGCTTCGATTTTAATGGGCGGCTCCGTACAGATACCTGGGGACTGCAAGCAGCAGCTGCTGCAGTTGTCTCCTTTTGGCAGCAGCTGCTGCTGCCAAAAGGAGACAGCAAGCGTACGGATGCCTCAGCAGCAGCAGCAGGAGGAGCAGCAGCACTGACTGCTGCTGCTGCTGCTGCAGCGGAAGATGTAGGCGTGGGGGCATGGCTGACACCTGCTGCTGCTGCAGCTGTAGCAACAGCAGCAGAGGCAGCAGCAGCAGCAGCAGCAGATCCTCTCGCGCATTACAGAGGCCTCCATCACCATGGGCAGCAGCCAGAGGCAGCAGGATATACACTCGAAGAATTGCTGCTGCTAGCACACAGCGCTGCAGCAGCACAGAGGGCCTTAGCTGTACGCACGCTGTCGCAGCTGCTCCTCGCAGCGAGAGCTTTCTGCTGCCTCCCCAGCAGCAACCCCTCAGCAGCAGCAGCAACAGCAGCAGCAGCAGCAACAGGAAGGGTCAAAACGGGGCGGGAGGCATTTGCTGCTTTCCGGCAGCTCTTGTCCCCCCTTCTGTACCAGCAGCAGCAACTGCAGCAGCAGCAGCAGCAGCAGCAGCAGCAGCAGCAGCAGGTGGCGCTGCGTGCTGGGTTTGGGTTTGGCTTGGGGCGTTTTCTTCGTTTTTTGCTGCTCGATCAGCAGCTGCTGTTCCGCTTGTGTGGCTGCCTGATGGCGGAGTCTGCTGCTGTTGCTGCTGCTGCAGCAGCAGGCCTCGCGAACCTGCTGCTGCCTGTACACCCCACGCGGCGCCTAGGTCCTCTGCAGCAGCAGAGGTTGCTGCAGCTGCAGCAGCAGGAGGAACAAGCCGCCCCTGATGCTGCTGCTGCTGCTGTGCTGCACCTCTCAGCAGCAAACACCACCCTCTGCTGTGTTGTGGCGAGGCCCTACCGCATATACCTTCAGCAGCAAAGCAAGACAAGAACATCAGAAGCAGCAGCAGCAGCAGCAGAAGAGGGTGCTGCTACAGGTGTGTGCAGCTGCTTGCTCGGCGTTTTATCAGACTCTGTTGCTGCTGACGAAGAACCTTCTCTCTTTCCTTTAGGGGGTTTAGATCTCTTGGGGTGTACGTACACCCCAAACCCTCCTTGGCCTGCTGCTGGAGGAGCAGCAGCAGCAGATTCTCGCGTTTGTTTGGGGCCCGGCAGCGCCTGGGCTGCTCTTGCTGCTCGCTGGAACGACCTCTTGCCGCAGCAGGAGCAGGAGCAGCAGCAGCAGCAGCAGCAGCAGCAGCAGCAGCAGAACTACCTGGATACGCCGCTGGGGGATTCATTTGGAAGACACCCGCATGCAGCAGCAGCAGACTTCGCTTTGGTGCTGCCACGTGTTGCTGTGCTGCTGCAGCGGTGCTGGGGGGTTGCTGAAGAGGAGCAGCAGCTGCTGCGGCTCCTGTGCGGCATCTGCACGGGGGGCCCCCAGCAGGTGCAGCAGCTGCTGCAGCAACAGGATCTGGTGCAGCGGCTGCTGCTCCTTGCAGACAGTCTGCTGCTAGGAAGTGACGCACGCCAAAGGCGGCGTGCTGCTGCTGCTAAGCAGCTGCTGCCTGCAGCAGAAGCTCTCCTTAAAGGCAGCAGCAGCAAGAACAGCAGCGGCAGCAGCAGCAACAGCAGTAGCACTTCATCTGCAGAAGAACCGCAGGACTACGATATAAGAGAGCAGCGCCTTCTGCTGCAGCTTCTGCTGCTGCTGCGCATTTGTGCAGCACGCGTAGACAGCCTGCAGCAGCTGCTGCCGCTCTTTGGCCCTCTAGAGATCTTTGGCAGCAGCGAAATAGACGACAGCAGCAGCAGCAGCAGCAGCAGCAGCAGCAGCAGTGTTTTGGGTTTGGTGCTGCAGTCTTTGATGGCAGCTGTTGAGCAGCCTGAGCTGCAATTCCTGCAACTGCAGCAGCCGCAGCAGCAGCAGCAGCAGCAGCAGCAGCAAGGGAAGGATGGCTTAGGACTGTCTCCTGTCTCTCACGTCCTGCGTGTTGCTGCTGCAGCTGCTGCAGCAAGGCTGCTGCGGCTGCTGCAGCACCGAGGCAGCTGTGATGTGCCGCTGCTGCCGTTGCTGCCAGCATTTGCTGCTCATATACGGGGCTTCTCTGCGCAGCTGCAGCTGCTGCAAGGCCACCTGCTGCTGCAGCAGCAGGGCGCACCCTCAGGAGGAGGAGCAGCAGCAGCAGCAGACGGGGACGAGAACTACGACTGGGCCTCCTGCTTCTCTTGCGTCCGGCATCCAGTGTGCAGCAGCAGCAGCAACAGCAGCAGCAGCAGCAGCAGCATCGCTGCTAAGGCGAGGCAGCTGCTGCGATATGAAGGCCAACTGGTGCTGCAGCTCCTTTTGTGGGGAGCAGACTCCGTAACTGCGGTGTCTTTCGAGGTGCGTCTCTTGCTGCTGTTGCTGCTGCTGCTGTTGCTGCTGCTGCTGTTGCTGCAGCTGGTGCTTTTCCTGTTGCAGTTGCTGCTGCGGGTGCTGCTGTTGCTGCTGCAGCTGGTGCTTTGATTGGTGCAGTTGCAGGAACGGCCTGTGGCTGTTGTGGTTGAGGCAGCAGCGGCCGCAGCATCTGCTGCTGCTGCTGGTGCTGCTGCTACTGCTACGATTTCTTGCTGCTGGGGTGTAACCCCTCATGCTGTTGCCGCTGCTGCTGCTGCGTTTTGTGCAGGCGTCGTTGCTACTGCCAGCAGCAGGGGGTCTTCTCGCTGCGCTGCAGCCGCTGCAGCAGCTGGAGCCAGCAGCGTGCAGCAGGTTGTCTGCTGCTGCAGTGCATGTGCTTCTGCGGTGTACAGACGCTGTTCGCTGGAAGCTAAAGGAGAACAGCAGCACGAAGAGTGCCTTCTCAGCAGCAGCTGCTGCTGCGGACTCCGACGACCCTGCTGCTGCACTTGCAGCAGCAGCAGCAGCAAACGAAGACACTGAGACGACCAAACGGCTGCTGCTCCGCCGTTGGCGCTCATCTGTCTCCTCTCCGATTCAGCTGCTAATGGGGTCTCCTCCTGGGGACGAAGCTGCTCTTAGCAGCAGCAGCAGTGGCAGCAGTAGCAGCGACAGCAGCAGCCCCACGAGCGACAGCAGCAGCAGCAGCAGCAGCAGCAGCAGGGGTATGTGGGGCGTAGCGCTAGACCGCGTTCTGCTTCTGCTTTACGGCGGAAAGGAGACACCTCAGGCTGTGTTGGCTGCGTCATCTTCTGCAGCAGCAACAGCAGCAACAGCAGCAGCAGCAGCAGGCAACACAGCAGCTTCACAGAGTGCTGCTGCTGCTGTCTCCTCCTACTTGATAGAGACAGGCTGGACACTCGCAACGCGGTGCTGCTCTTTGCAAGCTAGACGACCGTACCCGTGCTGCTGTAGTGCATGCAGCAGTAGCAGCAGCAGCAGCAGCAGCAGCAACTCCTGCAGCAGGGGCAGCGCATGCAGCACGTGGTGCCTGCCAGTAACGTCGGAGAGTTTTGCTGCTGCATCCGCTGCAGCTTTAAATGCTGCGCATCTCGCTGCTGCTGCATCGCTGCCGCCTTCTGAAGCTGCTGCCAAGCCTGCAGCTGGAGGACCAGCAGCAGCAACAGCAGCAGCAGCAACAGCAGCAGCAGCGCATGCAGCTTGTCTGTCTGATCCTAGATTGGTTGAGCTGCTGCTGGCAGATCTGCAGCTGCTAAGGGGCATTCTGCATGCATTTGCTGGATGCCTAGCAGTCGTTAGCGACGTAGCGCAGCTTGCAGCAGCAGATAGCAGCAGCAGCAGCAGCAGCAGCAGCAGAAGTCAGGGACAGTGCCTCTCGTCTTGGGTCGAAGAGATGCAGTTGCTGCTGCAGCAGCCCTTAGTACAGCGCTTTGCCTGTGAGGCAGAGACACTTGCTGCGGGTCTGCTGCTGCTGCTGGAGGCTCTACACCAGCAGCTGCGCATGCCGAAGCAGCAGCAGGAGCAGCAACAGGAACAGCAGCAGCAGGGGCAGCAGCAACAACAGCAGCAGCACCGAGACTTAAAGCCCTTCCTCCACTCAGCTGTGAACGCCACAGCCCCAACTCTACCTCAAGATGAAATTGCTGCATGCGCTCTTGCTGCTTTAGATGCTGCAGCAGCCTGCAGGAACTACATCAGGAGCATGCAGCAGCAGCAGCAGCAACAGCAGCAACAGCAGCAGCTGCAGCAGCTTTCTCTCCGCTGCGCTGTTGCTGCGCTGGCCAATGCAGCAACAGCAAGAACGGCGCTGCTGGCGTTTGCACATCTCGCTGTGTACCTGCAGCAACAGGAGTGCAGCTGCAGCAGCAGCAGCAACAGCAGCCGCAAGGCAGATGAAAACAGCAGCAAGTGCTGCTTGTGGGCAGCAGCAGCAGAAACACTTGTTGGCTGCTGTGACGCAACCCCGTGGAGTTTGCATGCAGTGCAGCAGCTACACGCAGCACTAGCAGCAGCCTCCGAACAGCAGCAGCAACAGCAGCAGCAGGGGTTTGGGGTTGTTCTCGCTACCGATCTAGAGCATTACCTGGAGCAGCAGCAGCAGCAGCAGCAGCAGCAGCAGCAGGAAGCCTGGGAGAAGACCCTCAACTCGGCGTTGTTTGTCTCTCCTTTTGATCTCATCGTAGGGGCCCCCCTGTGGGGTATTTTGCTGCGCAACGCAGCAGACACAGCAGCAGCAGCAAGAGCGCATGCAGCTGCTGCACTGACAAAACAGCTGCAGCGGCTGCTGCTGCAGCAGTCGGCTTCTCTCGGGTTTGCTGTGGCTCGCTTAGCGTCTCCCTCTTACTTAGTCGGGGGCTTGCTCCGCAGCCTGCAGCAGCAGCAGCAGCAGCAACAGCAGCAAGAACAGAAGGAGCAGCAGCAGCCCGAGCAGCAGCAGCAGCAGCAGCAGCAGCAGCAATTGCAGAGGGAGCAGCAGCAGCAGCAGTCTCTGAACGGTGCGTTGCAGGCAAGGGCTGCTGCTCTGCCTCCTGCGTACAATACAGAGTGGAGACTGTTGGATTTGCTGCTGCTGCAGCCATTGGGGCTTGCATGCGTTGCGCCGCTGGCAGCAGCAGCAGCTGCAGCAGCAGAGACAGCAACGCCAGCAGCAGATACAGCAGCGCATGAGGAAGGCAGCCGGTGGAGAAGAACCTTACGAGCGGCTGCTGACTCTGCTGCTGCTGCGTCTGCTGCTGCTGCGTCTGCAGCTGCAGCAGCAAAAGAAGAAATGGAGCCTAAGCCGGATATGCTACCAACCGATGCTTTGAGAGCAGCAGCAGCAGCAACAGCAGCAGCAAATCAAACTGCAGCGTACCTTTGCTGCTGCGAATCCGCTCGCAGTTTTGCTACCCGGGGGGCGCTAGAGTTGCTGCAGCAGCTGCAGGCATCAGCAGCACCCGAGCCGCAGCAGCTGCTGCTGTTGCTGCTGCTAAGCAGCCCGTTGCTGCCCCAGGCAGCACGTGAACATGTGTGGGGCGACGAAGGGGCCCTGGTGGTTCTAGACAGAAACACAGTCTTGCTGCCTCCAGCAGCAGCAGCAGCAGCAGCGGGCGACAGCAGCAGCAGCAGCGACAGCAGCAGCAGCACGTGGGAAGCACTGCTGCGCTTCGCAGGCACCATGAAGTGGGGTGTATGTACACCTGAAAATGAGTGGCTGTTTTGCTGCAGCGCAGCGGCCAACTGTCTGCTGCTGTCGATATTATGGGGAGACAGCAGCAGTTGCTGCGAAGAGACACTGCAGCGGCAGCAGCGGAGCCACCTGCAGAGACAGCTGGGAACAAGCACGGGCCTGGTTTCTGCTGCAGCAGCAGCAGCAGCTGCAGCTGGGCTCAAAGCCTAACCCACTGCTGTTAAGATCTGCTGCGCATGCGCTGAGGAAGCAGCAGCAACAACAGTAGCCCTGCTGTTGTTGTTGCTGCTGCTGCTGCAGATGAGCTCTCAATTCTCTTGCTGCATGCTCCAGGCTGTGCTGCAGAAGCAGCAGTATTTGAAATCCCTTCGAGCAGCAGCGGCAGCAGCAGCAGCACTAGCAGCAGGATACAATGAGTTGCTGCTGCTGCTTCTGTGCAGGCAACGAGATGTTGCTGTTTGCTGCAGCATTGAGTGTTGCTGTGCTCCTCAGCACAGCAACACGTCTCTGCTGCTGCATTTGCTGCTGCTGCACTTGGTGCTGCTGTTGCTGCCTCTTCTGTTGCTGCACCCACCGGTCAGCCTGATATTAGAGCTCGCTGCAGCAGCTAGCAGCTAAAAGGAGACAGGAGACACTTATCTATCTACGAAGAGAAGCAGATGAGGAGACAAGGAGACCCCTTCTGTCTCCTTTATTATTTTGTCTCCTTAATAGCTTCTCTCTCTAATAGTATTTGTTTGTTTGTCTCTACAATAGAAAGAACCAGCAGCTTCGATGCTGCAGCAAATATTTCTATCAGCAGCAACTGGGGTGTACAGACGGCCCCGTGCAGCAGCAGCAGCAGCAGCAGCAGCAGCAGCAGCAGCAGCAGCAACAGCAGCAGCAACAGCAAATCCAGTTTGCAAGGCAAACAACACGGGGCACCCTTTTATCTTTTTTATATTATATATATATATAGTTATGTATATACACATATTTGTACAATGCGAGAGAGACAGGAAGGAGACAGTATAAAGAAAAGGAGACAGATGAGTTTGTCCTCTGTGAAGAAGAAATAAAAAACAAGGAAATACAAACAGAGACAGAGAGACAGACAAATAGAGACAGAGAGACAGACAAATAAAGACAGAAAGAGACAGACAAATAGAGACAGAGAGACAGACAAATGAAGACAGAAAGAGACAGACAAACAGAGACAGAGAGACAGACAAATAGAGACAGAAAGAGACAGACAAACAGAGACAGAGAGACAGACAAATAGAGACAGAGAGACAGACAAATAGAGACAGAAAGACAGACAAACACAGACAGAGTGAGACGAACAAACTGAAGGAGACAGAGAGAGAGAGAGACAGACAAATAGAGACAGAGGGACAGAGAGACAGAGACAGTGACAGGGAAGAGACAGAGACAGAGAGAGAGAGAGAGAGAGAGAGACAGAGACAGAGACAGAGACAGACGAAAGAAAACAGAGGCAGACAGACAAATCAACAGAGACGAACAGAGAGACAGACAAGCAAACAGCAAGAGAGAGTCAAATAAACAAAGACAGAGAGGAAAATAAAGTGCGAGAGACAGAGAAACGAACACAAAGAGACAAACAAAGAGAGACATGCACGATTACAAAGGGCCCCCCCCCC